AGAACCTCTTCGCATAAAATTTGAAATTTTCAGAGTAGGGCCCATATTGGTATTGACCACATTCATCAATTGATTTGGCTAAAAAAATTTATATATGCCACCCTAGGGTAGGGAACCATCATACAGATAATTGCCACATAGGAATTAATTTAAGTAAAGTCCCCACATTGGAGTATCCCCAAGTCCACTTTCACATCTAATGTGTGGTCAGAAAAGAAAATTTTGTATTCTATTGAATTTGTAACCCCCAAAAGAATATTGGTTGGGAACGTAGATTTGGGATGTGCATCTATATGAAATAAATTGTGGAAACATGAACAAATTACAAATATAACAAAGTAGCACGGGACCGAATATTTGTTGAATCATCATTGAATTATACCATGATGAAAATATGGACTTTAAGGGGTCTCCAACTTACAATTTAAATGACAAATAAAATTAAATCCCATCTTATCATTCTGCCCTCAATTATGAGGTGGATAAAACTATTTTTACTTATTTAAATCACGCGAAAAGCTATGACATGCTATATTGTTGTGCTATATTTTTGATTTGGCCTCTATTTGTCATCTTGGATTATAAGGGGTTGAAGAAAGTTTTCAATGTAGGTCGATGTTTCGGAGTATAAAGAAAGTACCTCCTAATTTAACCATATTTCAAAGAATTTTGCTAATAATGTTTATTAGTGGGGGGGGGAGGTTGAAAATCTTACTGCTCATTTGACTGGAAGATTTTGCTACGATTTTTACCATATTAAAAATTAATTTGATCCCTTATATGGCGATAAGATTGATATATACTTTTTAATAGATTTGTATAGCACATCCACATAGTTGAAGCCCACGGTTTAAATATTGAAGCCCACTGGTTAAAAATGGGTACAGGTATTTTAAAACACTTTAAATCGACCTGTACGTGAACATTTATATCAGTCATATCTGTGGATAATTATGCTTGGGAAAATATGCATAATAGACAAAAAGTACGGGCCGGCAACGCGGACCGGGCCAGCTAGTTTGAGATTATTTAAACTGATTATTTGTTGGTGGCCGATGGTGGTGGTGGTCAGTTTCACAAAACGCTGGCTCTTTGGAGAGCAAGTGTGTGTGTAACTGTATGTGTGTCCATGCCCACTCGCATTGGAAATTTGATTCATTTTACACAGATTCTCGATGTCTACCGCTTACAGCCGGCCAAGTGTGTCGATGTGTAAGCCTGTGTGCCCCGATGATGTTGCCTGCAACAAATTCCAACTATTTAAATATTTAAATGAGCAATTATTTGCTATTTTTAGGATGAGGAAATTTGTTCGGCATTTAATTTTAGCGAAAATTTCATTTCAAGAGTTGTGGCGAGGGAATACTGGCTGCTGAAGCATTGGCGTTTAGTTGGTTCGTTGGTTGGCGTGTGGGCAGGCGATGTGTGCAGTAATTGCAAACAAATGAAGTCAGCGACCTTTTGGTGATGGCAATACCACCAACAAAAATAAAATGAAACGAAACGAAACACACAACCAACGCACAATCGTTCATTCATTCAGTCAGTCATTCATCCACTGTCAATAGAGGCTGCGGCAGTAACAATAGTAGGCCCAATTTTTTTCCCTCGCCACATTTGAGCCCAACACATTTAAATGGTCGTTCACTCTCGTTCGTGCCGCAGATGAGAAAATTGATGGCAAAATGCTTGGCAACTAATTTAAGCTCGAAAACAATAAATATGTTTTTATTATTTAATAAATTTCAGCCTCAGTTTTCGGAATTGAAATTTTGTTCATTGATTGAATGTTCATGTGTATGTGTGTGTGCGTGTGAATGTTTTACGACTTAACTGCTAATGCCATAACTAAATGGAACAACATATCAAAATTAATAAAACACACACACACAAATACAAATACAAATACCCGAACGAATAAACCAAATAAATTTAAACTGCAAACATTTAATTTAACATTTATTGATGGACGTTTGGACTACCACCACCCCTCGGCCTCTTTCCAACATACCCAATTCCCATTGTGCCGTCATCAACGTCGTCATTTGTAAAACGGAAGGAAGTGAATTGATAATCATAAAAATAGAAATATTAAATAATAATCAAACTGAAAACAATAGCTGCGGCAGCGTCTATCTGCCTGGCTGCCAATGCTCTGACGCCATAGCCAACCAAACAAAAGCAAAAAAAAAACTTTCTTCTTTCCTTGGCCATTAGGCAGGTGAGACAAGCGAGAGAGAGAGGGGTTACACATGCCGCTGCCGCTGCAGTAATCTCAACATCAGCCCAGCTATCATCGACGGATCGTTGAAAGTAATTAACAATTAACAACGCCGGCAGTGTTACAGAAATCGAGCGATTACACGAAACAATGAAGCGAACAAACAATGCCCACTCGCTGCTGCGTGGTACGAACGTGCGATTTGTTTTGTGAGCATTTTTTTCTGTTTTGTTTTTTGTTTCCAGCTGTAGTTTGGTTGTACCAGCTTTTTTTGTTTCTTTGATTGTTGGGTGCATGCAACAGCATTAAACAAATATATAGCAACTTTTATTTGAGGTAGAGAGAGATACTTAAAAGAATTCAATCTTGGAATTGAATTTACAAGAGCCTTGAAAACTTGGGAATTTTTAATGGAAATTTTAAGGAATGGACCACGGGGGGTTTAGGAAGGTCTAAATGGCGAAGAGAGACATAAGCGAAGAGAGAAAAGTTTAGTTTGTTATTACGGTCACATGCATAGGCTGACATCCATGTAAGATTTGTGTCAATCTAGCTCTATCGAACGAACTAGTTCCTTGTCTAGTTTCGTGGACTCCGGTCATTTGCATGAAAACTCTGCGCATGAGTGATATGAAATCACTAGATTCACACAACTTTAGTTGTGGATCCAAGAAGCTGAGTTTTTTAAGTTTTTTTATAGTTCTATGGGCACTCAGAAATGCCAATATTTTGAGGATTTGGGTAATAAGAACTCAAAATACTTGGGAATTTGAATAAGAAATAAAAGGGCTTACGGACCCTACGAAAATGGAATCTTGTAAATATTATTTTTACAAGATTCCATTATTTATTGTAATCATATAAAACGCGGATTTTTAACGGGCTTTGAGGCCTCCCTTCGAAATTTTTAGTGGTCTAATTGATACAAACAAAGGTATGTTTAGAGAATTTTAAAGAAGAGTGCATAAATTGGATGTGACGATGTTTATCCAAGGGATTTTGATATTTTGTGAAAATCGCTTGGATTTGATGGAATGTATTTTTAAAGGAATTTTTAAAAGACTTGTGGATATCAAGAAACTTCTAGGTTTTATGGAACCCAAAAGTTTTATGTAGTACAAAGCTATATATACCCAAAGGACTATATTGTTTACAAGCGTACAAAAACATTATGGTGAGAATTTTCCGGAAAAAAAGATATTCGTGATGGAATTCAAGCGTGATAGTGTGATTTCTTTATATTTGTCTGGAAAACCATTAGTGGCATTAAAGTGAGAAAAAATCTTTTGTGTCTCGTACCATCGCTCGTTACCATGATGCTAGCGTAGCCCGACATCGAGGAAATGGTTCGAAAAGTAAAGAAGCGACTTGATTGAAACCCACGTCGCAATGGCCGAAAAATGGCTCGTGAGCTGAACATATCGCAATATTCAATTCAACAGATATTGAAAAATGAGGTCGGGGTAACGCCATTGAAATTCCAAAAAGTGCAACAACTTACACCGCAACAGAAAGAAAATAGACTCAAAAGAGCCGAAAGTGGTGAACTGCCGAATTTGGTTTTCGCCGATGGGAAAACATTAGTTGTCCAGCAGTTTGTAAACAAACACAAAGATCGTGTTTACTTGCCAAAGAGATCAGCTGAAAATGTGCACCTTCGGTTGGCCATCAGAACTCAAGCGCCGGCCATGGTGATGGCGTGGGCCGCCATAACAGCCGATGGTCGCTCTCCTCTCGTATTAATCGACCGTGGCATCAGAATAAATGCTGAATATTACGAAAATATTCTGGAGGGTGAATTAAAGGCTTAGGCACGCAAACATTTTTTGCGCAGACCTAGGACATTCCAACAGGACTCAGAACGCGCCACCCAAGAATGGTTACAAAATGAGGTTCCTCGAGTATTTTAGAAAGCAAGGTTGGCCCTAAAAAATACTAAAGTGTCGATCACCTCAAGCAAGCGCTTCGCCGGGAATGGGCCAAAATACCGCAGAACAACATTCGGGCCGTGACGGTTTCATTAACCGTTTGAAGGCCAAAAATCGTGCAAAAGTGACCAATTCAAACAAATCTAGACTTATTCTGAAATTTGATGCTATTTCCGACAGTTTTGCTTTCATTTAATAAAATTTTAGAAGAAAAAAGTTAAAATTATGGCGTTTGACTTTGTTGCAGTTTTTTTATCTCACCCAGTATTGTGTAGGGTTATGAAAGGACATGATAAATCATTTTGTAGAATATTTTGACTTGCTGCGAGAATTTTTGGAAAAGGATCAAAGAGGTCCCTTTGGCGACTCGTTGTTTGTGGTATAAACTGTTTGACCAGAATAATCCTCGTACTGTTATTAGTAATATTGCCGAAGATGCTTTATAGCTAAAATGCAGTGATTCCAAGGAGTCTGTAACGTGATTAATTCATCACTTACATTAGTCAGAACATATAGACGCACCCATTGCAGCGGAAACAGCAACACCACACGAGAACAGCGTCAACCAGCCACGCCAGTATTCGTTGGCCTTGTAACGGACAATTCATCTTTCGTCAACATTCAGGCAAAATAAGGCAAATAATTCTCATTTACTTGGTAATACCGGGTACATATATTCTACGAGTCCATCCGATCCATCCGAGAAGGCCTGAACATCTGCTCCCGAACACACTCACAGTGAGCTGCCGACACCGTTTTTTTAAAGATCCATGTCGCCTGAAGTAAATTAAGTCGCTAGGTATATAGAAAAAGTGTTAGTTTTGATTTTGGAATACCGTCGTTCCTTATTATTTGGTAATGGGGAAAGTAAGTTATTTAGCTTTTTGCACGTTTTTGCTGGGTTTGTTTAGAGACTTTGGAGAAAAATATCTATGCATATTTAGTGAATATAAGCTATTATCAAATTTCGAGATTTAAAAAAATATGGTGGACTTAGAAAAAATATCCTTCGATGGGAGTACAATTCCCCTAGGTGTTCTCTAATCGAAAAAGCTTAGCATTTCGATTTAATTTTTGATTCGAAATGCTATTTTTTAAATCAACCACCAAATGGTGGTTTCATTCCTTTAAGTAACTTCCATGCAGATGCCATGTGACGCGTGAATAGATCACGACATGGTTGTTTTACTTTCAATTCATTTCTGGTAAAGTGTTAATGCCGTTCGCATGTATCCATCGCCAAAAACAACAACAACACAATAAACAATAAGAGGAGACGAAGAAGAAAAACAACCAACACCATTGCATTGTGTAGCTAACTACCTTTTGATGGCAGCACAATGCGCCAGTCGAAATCCATTCGAAAGCCCAAAGCAAATACTCCATTCATAAATATGGATCGGGAATTTTGAATGCAAGTGAATGAAGGCCCAAAGTTAGAGGTTCGGAAGCATCGCATGCAAAAAAAAAATTGTAAATATTATTGTTTGTTGTTTTTTTACGTTTTTTGCCGATTGCAACTGAGGAAGAATGAGAGCAAGAGCAAAAAAATATGTATGGAGAGAGTGAGTTTACAATGGTACGACGACAAACCAACCAGCCGTTTAACAACCATTCTTCATGGCTGACTGACTGTACAAACAAATTGGTTACATGCGGAGAGGTTGGCTTGGCAGTGGCTAGCTATATAAAACACGAAATAGACAGATATCCTCGATTCAATGTTGCCACAGCCATACAGGAAGACACAACAACACAACTCACACCACAGACATCCGTACAGCGTCGGCAGAGGGCGATACACGACCGTGATCTTGAGGAGATTTCAGCAGATTGCCAGGAGACCTCATTGCGGCAGCGACGGCAGGGTTATCAATATTATCACTACGACAACAGCCACAACCAGGATTACAAGGTTCACAACAACGACTACCACACGGATACGAACGACGACAAGAAGGAGCAGCCCTGGCAACTGTTGCAACTCTGGAGGAGATATACCCAGCAGCTCAATAAAAATATCTAAAGGATGCTGCTTCTGTTGTTCCGAAATTGTTGTGTAAGTAATGGAAAGATTGTATTTTGGGAGAGGGGGCAAGGGGCGGAATATTGAAACAAATCACTCAAGTCGTATTTTCAACATTTTTATAGCGCATCCTGTGGAAACATGTAAGAACGAATTCGCTTGGCCACAAAAAATTGGATAAAGAGCCAAAGAAGTTATCGCCAACGCCGCCACCATCGACGCCGCTGCAATTGTCATACTATCGCCAACAACAACAACGACATTACCATTTCATTTTATGGTTTTCATTTCTGTTGCTGCTGAGTCAACAGCATGGCGAATGCGAATGCAGTCCAGCATCTGGAGCGAATCACAGGTGGGTGTTAACACCGATGACCAAACGACGATACACGTTCGTTGGCATTTAACCCATATCGTTGGACAACAAAACATACAACGTACGAGATACAGAGACATACGCTAAACAAGGTGGGGTAGGGTTGAGGGGGAGGGGGAGGGTTAGATGTTTGTGGTTCTGTGTGAGTTGAGGTGAGAGGGAGATAAAATCGATTATTGTTCCATTTATTTTTACGTTTTAAACGAAAACACATTTCCTGCCAATAAATATGGGGACAGACAGCCGAAGGAGGAAAATTGACGATGACGGTTAAAAATCAATTCTTTCAAAAAGAAAAACAAAATTGGAAATGAAAATGTAGTTAATTTTTTCATGATCACATTTGTATAAGAAGTGCAGTGTTACGGTTATTTTTTTCCATTGACAGGGCCTGAATCGAGCGACCCAACCTTTTCCCAGTATATATGGCTCCAAAAGCATAGAACAATAAACATAGGACACAAAGTAGTTAATTTTGCTATAAAGCCATCGATGACTAATGACATGACAAACTGCCAAAGAAATTTTTAAAAATCGGAAATGTGTATAAAAAGAATCAAACTTCCCACCTTATTATCAGCGTAAATATTCAGCGATGTTCGTCTGTCCGTCCGTTAATATCATTCGAATGAGTACGTGTGTATTTTGCCAGTAGACAGCTAAATTCGTAAATGGGCCACGTCGGTCCACGTGTTCGTATAGTTCCCATACAACGATACCTCCCGATATTCGGAATTTTGATGATTTAAGTGACATTATGCACCGGAATTGTTTCAAATTCAGTATTAAAAGTCAAAATTTTCTTATGTTGGCCCCCACATAACGTTTTTCATTTAAGCGTTTTTTTGGGAATTTTTTAAAAAATTTCAATGGTGGAGGGCGTAAAGTTCGGCCCGGCCGAAACTTGAAGTAGAATATATTTAATGCCAAAATAAATATTTCAACCATTACATGGCAACAATGTTATTCGAATACTTTGTTTGGGCCTGTCCGGAGGCCTGTCGCTCCTCGAAATTTGAGAGAATTTAAAAAAATATGCAACAAGGTGTGCCCCAAGACTGGCAAATAAAATAACGCATTGAATAATGTCTACGCCCCAGAGCATGGGTATGAGATACAGACGCTATCGTCCAATTGATTTTGATATTACCGTTGTATTATCCGCATTATATGCCAAATTGATTCATTTCCTTTAGGAATAGTGTTTTCTTGGAAATGCTTCCCCAAAACTGTAAAACTTCTTTATAAATCTCTGATAAAATATTTAATAATTTAAAGAGCGCCATCTATACTTCAATGATAAAATTTATGAGCAGTAGTACCTTGGTCTGCAAATGTGTTCCATATGACGGTTATTTTAGGTTTTCAAATGTCAATATATTATAAAAGTCATAAAACCTAAAAATATCCCAATTAGTGCTTCAACCGCTGCTGAACGAGGGGTAGACGACTATTTTAAAACCACGTAGACCAGAGTGAACTTTCTATGCAAACGAACTGACAAGGGCAACTATTCGAAAACAAAAATTCATCGGTCAAAGTTCCATCATGATAAGACTTACCGTTCATATAATAGCAACACATAGGGTATGGGGTAGCAGACGCTACCGTCCTGTTGATATCGATATTACCGTTGTTCCATCCAAATTCTTAAATGACAAATTGATACCTTTCATGTACGACATAAGTGAAATTAAGTTAAAACTACATACTCTAGTTATAAATTGTTTGATACAATATTTTATGATTTAAATAGCGCCACCTGTGCCTCAATTATAACAATGTTATATTTGTAGTGCTTTGGTATGCAGATGTGTCTCTGGTTTCAACAATCAAAATGTTATAACAGTCATAAACTTCTACATTATTGAAAGATTCCACAAGGTGCGTCCCCAACTAGTTCGATCCTCGTAGATCAGCGTAGGTTGACTTACATAGAATGGAGTAGTTGACGATTTTGTCATGGGAGGTATTTTTTATTATGCTTTTTTATTAAAAAAAAAAAAACAACAAACTTTCTTAAAAGATCTTTGGGGAATATTTTATGATTTAAGGAGCACTTTAGGTGTACACACGCGTTCCACATGACGATTATTGTAGGTCTCAACAATCAAAGTGTTGTAGGAGTAACAGTACCAAGCTGATTGACAAGGTATGGAAAATAAATTACACGCAAAATTTTAAATAAATGCTTCAGCTATTTTCGACGTCACCATCGGACTTCAAATAATAGCATAGCATTATGGCTTTCGCGCTTTCGTCCTGTTGATATGTTAACATATTACGTTTGTTCTATACACTTTCAATAAAGACTGGTTCATACTTTTCAGTATCCATTTCCGAAATTCCTCTAAGGAAACAAATCTTAAGCAAAATTCTTGATACAGAATTTCATGTTCTAAATAACGCCATCTGTAAATTAATTGTAATCTTGTTCAGTAGCAGTACTTTGCTATGCACTAGTAACAGATGATTCTATCTCTCAAAAAGTTGTAAATGCCTGGACTGAGCTTGGAAGTGTGATATGTGCTGATTAATTTTTTCTTAGAAATTCTTTCCAGAAAGCTACAAATCATTAACAAAATGCCCTTGGTATAGTTTTACACTTCTTAACTGATGCCATCTATACATCAACTATAATTGTATTTTGCAGGAACACTTTCGAATATATAAAGCATGCTTTTGGGGGCAAAATAAAGAATAATGCTGCGACAGAATTATGATGATTATATAAAGTACGTATGGCTGTCAAAAAGTTGAATTTTAGAAAAATTTCATTAACTCAAGAAATGTTAACCATGCCAAGAAGTTGGCGTAAATGTCAATCCGAATTGGCGTGAACAACTACTTCTTAAAAATGAAATTTAGTCAATTACTTCAGGAAAAATCTTTGGATCGACATTAATATTTTGTCGGAAAAGTTACGATATGAATATCACGGGTCCTCTATCCACACCCGAGAATTATGTATTGCTTTTTCTCAGAATCCTCTTTTATTTCTGTGCCTAAGTGTATGCTTTCTCATATGTCACTATAAGGGTTATCCGATTCATCACTAGAAACAAGTATTTAAAAAATATCCGATTGATTAATCTTGTTGTGTATTCCTTGTTGTATTCCTTGTATTCGTTTACAAACAAAGTAATCTAAATCATTTTGACTGGGCAAGTTCCATTGCTCCTCTTAATTATCCAATAAATTCAACGAGGATTGAATTGAAGATTACCCTTGGACACCGATTTTCCTAATCCCAAGTCAACTACTATTAATATATATTATAAAATAAACTGAAACTAAACCCGCATTTTGCTCTAAAATCACAGGGCCCAACGCCGTTTCATGTGGAAACAAATGGACACAACTGTGGATGGTTTCGTTGGACGAATGGTGACAGGCGCCCGTATGATGAAGGGTATGATTGGTGAATTCATGCCACAGCAACAACAAGGTGGAAAACCAGGTTCCGGCAATGCTTTGGATTACCTGCCAACCGAGACAACACGTATACGCTACATCATACGTAACCCTCTGACCAAAGAGACGAAAGTTATTAAAATACGTCCCTCGAAAAAGGTCATCAAACTTATGGCCATGACACCGAAACCATTGCTGGCCGAGAAGACCAAGTCGATGTACATCTTGGAAAATGGAAAGCTACGGCAGCTGGAAAAAGAACAGAAACTTATAGCTGAGGGAAAACTTCCACCAAAACACGAGGAACGCATGCCTTCTAACAAGAAACCCACTTCTGGCGACAACTCACAGCGTGGTCATAATCGTGACCATTTACAACACGGAGAAATTGTTAAAGGCGTCGGATTGGGGGGTCAAGATTTTGGCGAAAGTTGGAAACCGGTGTTTAAGGACCACGAGAGCCATTCCACAGCCAGGCCATCAATGATGAGTTTGTTGCACACCAACATTGTGGGTGAACTGTTGCCACAGCCGCAGAAGCAAGTCTATGATCCGACATACGAATCGAATGACTACGAGGAAATGGAGCGGGAACGGGAACGTGAATTCGAACGTGATCGCAATAAATCACACACCTATGAGGTGACGGAGTACACGGCAGAGGAATCGGTAATGCAACCCTTGTCCCATGACTACTACAGCTATAAGCATGTACCAATCTCTGGATTGACATTGCGGGCCACGGGGTCCACAAGCACAACGGAGTCGCCAAGCGAAACCAATAAGAACGAGGAAGAAACAAACCCTGAAGAACATTTTTATAGCTACCGACCTGTACCGGTGGCCTCCTTGTCGTTATCTCTGCGAGGACTTGGTCATCGGTATGCTACGCCCCAAAAGGAGATACCACGTGAGGTGGAGGAACACAAGGAAGTTGAGGAGGCATCATCGGAAAAAGTTCAAATAACGGAATATAGAACTCACAGAGGTCCACCACCTTCACGCTTGAGTGGCAGCAGCAGCAGCAGTAGTTATAGGTCACATGTGGAGACAACGACATCACTGCCCAGTACCACAACAACCGAAGAGCCCAATTATCCACCGGCCTTCCTCAAGAAAATGCGTGAACGCCCCGACAGTCAGTATGTGGTCAAGCAACAACAACCCCGTAATAAACCCAAAGAATTGGTGTTGGAAAATACCTGGATACCTTCCAATGTGTCCTACTCTGAGACCAACACCTACCACCCCAAACCCACGGCCTATCCACAGCACTCGATATCCTCGCTACGTATCAAGTCTCAAAAATGGCCACCCGATTTACCGGATACACACAATTCGGATAACGCTCATCACGCAGCAGAACCCTCTGCCGGATCTCTCCAAGGCTATGAAACCAATGCGTCAGCAACCTCCATTTCAGCTGTGCGTAACACCGGAAACCATTCACGGAAAAATGTTCGCCTCAAGTCGCATGAGGGCGGCAACAGTTCTCCAATTTCTTCTTCTGCCTCCTCTGGTTCTTCGAACACAAGTACCTTGTCTGCCTCATCCTCCTCTTCCTCACCCTCATCCCACTCACAACCTGCTCATGAAACAAGAAATATTGAATACCACAGACATCGCAACAGCCGTCACAGAGGCTCTATTCGATTCGGTGACAAATTGGAAACAGATGAAGGTTAGAAGACGGCTGACGACAGACGGCAGCAACAGCACCAACAACCCCAAGCAAACAGCTCTAAGCTGCCAGGGGTGTTGCAAACAAGGAAGCCCTGCGTGCGACCAACCAACCAACCAAAGTCAATTTTAAACAAATTATTTATTGAGCGTTTTAGTAGATATGTAAGTGTAACTAAGTAATTGTTATTGTTATTGTAGTCGTAAGAACAGATCAGCAAGAAAGAGAGTCTAGGCATTTAAGTAAATTATTTATACCTTAGTTTTTATAGATGTGTAGTATACATTTACGAGGAGTATATATGTATGCGTATGTGGAGGTGTGTGCTCGCCACTTAAAATGTGTTACGTGAGAAAATAAACAAATACGTTGCCTCAATAAACCGCTGTGTAAATTAAAGGCACGCATTCGATTCGATTAATAGCCTCTACATTTGACGACACCTGCGAGGTGTCGCATGGAGCTCCTCTATATCCCCATAATACTCGAAGGGGATCAAATCACAACTTGTACGTGAGGTAAGTTCCTTCAATGTGTACGGTATTTTTGAAGTGGATTTATGCCTAGAAAAGTCTACTCGTGATAAGGACTATTAGAATGAGATGTAATGGAATACAATGGAGATATTTTAGAGAAGAGTTTTATGGCCTTTTTATCACTCACAGGATTTGATGAGACAATGCACTCGGTTTTCTCTGATAGTAAATTTTATTCAGAGGAAAAAAAATTAACAAATTGTCATTGTCCCTTAATGGCTACAGATACTCCCAAAATCAACAAAGTCAAACACCATAATTTTTGACTTTTTTTTTACATTTTATTGAATGAAAGCAGAAAATGTCGGAAATAACATAACATTTTAGAATAAGTTTAGATTTGTTCGAATTGATGACCTTTGGCACGAATTATGGCCTTCAAAAGGATACTTCGGCATTTTTTAGTGCCAACCTTGCTTTCCAAAATACTCCAGACACAATTGTCCAACGGATTGGTATCCGGAGATTTTGGTGGCCATTGTGCGCTGGAACTGAAGCGAGAAACCTCATTTTGTAACGATTCTTTGGTGGTGCTGAGCCCTGTTGCAATGTCCAAGGTCGGCGGACAAAATGTTTGCGTGCCCAAGGCTTTAATACACCCTTCAGAATATTTTCGCGATAATATTCGGCATTTATTTTGATGCAAAGGTCGAATAATACGAGCGGAGAGCGACCATCGGTTGATATGGCGCCCCACACCATCACCATGGCCGCCGCTTGAATTCTGGTGGCCAACCGAAAGTGCACATTTTCAGCTGACCTCTTTGGCAAGTAAACACGATCATTTTATTTGTTTACAAACTGCTGGACAACGAATGTTTTCTCATCGGAGAAAGCCAAATTCGGCAGTTCACCACTTTCGGTCAAGCAAAGCAATTCTTTAGCTCTTTTGAGTCTATTTTCTTTTTCTTGCGGTGTAAGTTCTTGCTCTTTTTGAAATTTCAATGGCTTTATCCGGAGCTCATTTTTCATTATTTGCCGAATGGAATATTGCGATATGTTAAGCTCACGAGCCATTTTTCGGCCACTGCGACGCGGGTTTCGATCAAGTCGCTTCTTTACTTTTCGAACCATTTCTGCTGATGTTGCTGTTTTCTTCCGTCCACTTCCTTGACGTCGGGTTACGCTACCAGTATCACGGTAACGGGCGATGGTACGAGAAACAAAAGATTTATTCACATTTAAAAGCTGGAGTGCTCTAACCCTTTAGCGAATTCTGTGAAAAAGTATGATTTGTGTTCCATTTTTGTGATAAATTTATTTTAAAATACCGTAATTTTTTCTCTCGAGAAAAAAATCGCTCAGTTTTTGTCTCTGCTAATTAAATTCAAATTTATCTCCACGAATATGGATTTTCACTCGGCCTTTCAGTCAGAGAACATTTTGACTACTTTATAGGCATTTCCAATCGAAATCGGTAAAACATTTTAAGTTTGCTATAACTTCCTGGTCGAATTCTATCCAACCTCTCACAGTTTGGTTTGCTGGGTGGTTTCTCAATACAGATATTCTTTTGATTTCCCCACCTCAGCGTTGTCCAAAGTTATTCTCTTACCTCAAAAGGTCATCAATATATTAAAGTTTATTGAAAATTGAAAACAATACCAGTGGTTTTTGCCGAATTCAATTTACCTACACAAACAAAAGAATTCTTTGAAGAAATTGATTATTTGATTTTTGTAACAACGCAAAATAACTACTTAACATCACCTTTAGCAAATACAGTGTATCGGAGCAAGGCGATTGAAATATCTTCTGAGTTATGTTGAACAATGAACTATTGCAAAGCCGTTTCGGAGAAATGATAAAATTATATATTTACATTTGAAAATAAGAATTTCAATGACATTTGAAACATAGCGTGAAATTAAATTATGTTAAAAACAAACATACGGTGCGCTAAGTTGGTAACTTCGAGCATGTTATTTCAGATAAGATTTCGTAGAAAAAATATATTGTCATTGTAACCTTGTTGAGTAGCCATTTGACAATATTTTATCGTCCTATCACAGTACGATTTGCGAATAAACAATTGTTAAGAAAGGTGTCAATTACATCCTCACTTAAGATATTTTTTACATGGTATATATCACTTGATACGCCAGAAATACCCATCAACGATTTCAGACCCCATGTCTCTTTGATCGTCATCCGATTCAGGACAATTGGGATCGATCTTACGATGTACGGCTGTCGGCCTACTGCGCATGCCAACTTTCCACTTTGGTGTAAATCATAGTATTTCTTTTAAACTCGAGTAGAAATCGGCATTTGGCTAGGTCACTCTTGATACGAGACATTAGACAAGTTCATGGTTTCAGAAGAGATCAGTTTTGTTAATTTTTACTCGTGAGTCAAACATGCCCGCGAGTTTTGTGAAACTTGTTCATGAGTAAAACTTGTTCGAGCTTATACGAACTGGAGAGTACTCCACTCTTTTGTTTAATGTTTGAGCGCCCGCAAGTTACTCCTGTTTAAAAAAATTACAGTGGGGTTAAAATGTTCGAAATAGAGTAAGAGCTTACTCTTAGAGTCAAAACGAGTGAACATAATTATTTCGTTTGCGGATTTGTGTTAAAAAGCTAACAAAGAAAAACAGCTGAAGCAGCAACAACAAAACCAACAACACAGGTTTGTTTGAAGCTGTGGTTTAACAAAGTACGTATATTTACAGACACAACAATTTACAGACGAGCAATGCATACTCACTTTTATGTAAGTGATATCGAAAAACAGAGCATGCTCGATTTTTCTACAAATAGGAGTGCTCCGGCTCGAATTCAAGTTGGCAGTGAAAATTCCAATTTTATGCGAAATCATAAATTTCATATTCACCTCAGCTTTCTGGTTGAGAGAAATATTAAGATATGGCAAATAAAGAACAAAGTATTGAAAATTGTGACCCTTTGTGAGTGTGGTACAACAGATCTTGTGTTAGCAAAAATGTTTGTATGTATGAAATTTGAATAGAGAGTTGGTATGCTTATTTCGCTTTCTTTGATCATTTTGTTTTTCAAAATCTTGAACCCAGAAAAATGGTCCGATCTCTATCATCTTTATAACAGTGATAGAGTGGTGATAGAATTGTTGAGATGTGCCATGTCTGAATGGAATTGGATGTTAATTTCGCGTTTTATGAGCTTCGCGGATATCGAAAATGTTGACCCTTTTTTGGTGGAGGTACCAGAGGGAGTGAACCGATATACTCGATCTTTACATCAGACCTTGGCTTAACACAAATATTGTGATGTGTTTAATTTGAAAACAATCGGACTCTTACATCACATTATATAAAAGTTGTAATTATTAAAAATTTTGACCCTTTGTGGGAGAGGTACTTGATGGAGTAGATTAATATTGTCTATTTTCGCATCTAACCTCGCACTGATATAAATATTGGGATTTCATCATCGGATAATCCTTCCGTGTTCTAACGGTAAATTATTTTCTGTAAAAATTTTGACCTTTTGTGGGGGAGGTACCAGAAAGAGTGGGCCGATATTGCCCATTTCAGAACTCGATCTAATTTTGATAATATCATTACGATGTACCAAGTTTGAAATCGGATAATTCCTTCGAGAATTATCGTATGCACCAGCCAGATGGGCAGACGAACGGATCGAATCAAATGTCCTCAAACGAATTTGGTCCAAATAGAGCTAGAGTCTTAAATTGTTATTTCGACGAGGCACGTTTTGGCCTTATCAAATTATATATACCCTCTTTAGGTAATGGTAGAAGAAACGTATTACATTTTTGGTACTAAACAAGTAAAAAAACAGCTAAGTTTGGCCGGACCGACTCGCTATTATCATCAAAATTCAGAAAATAGATAGGTACCATTATATGGAAGATATACGAAATCGTAGACCTGTATGGGCAATTTTCTGTTATATGAGGATGTACCCATCATGAAATTCAAATTCTATTCAAATTCTCATTTCCAATACCAAAAATCCTGCATACCTAGAATACATCTGAGAAAATGTTCATCAACCTTCTTAATTTCATTCGGAAGCTAGAGTGATTTTTACAGACGAACTAGAATTTTGTGCTGTATGTAACTTTGTAAAATGTATATTACGAGGAGTAACAAAAAGTTCAAACTTTAAAGGATCGAAAGGAGCTAAACGTTGAAATTTTGCATGAGGCTTAAATGAGGTCGAATTTTTGGATTTCATATTTTAAGGGTACACAAAGTAGGTTCAGTATTGTTATAAGAGTAAAACGATTGAAATTGTGAATATGGGATTACTAGTTTAACAGGTGATTGAAATATATCTTAACTTCTGTAAGTAGAATTTACTGCTAATGAATGTGATAAAATACTAAAGGGTCGTAACTTGCATTATCTGGTTTGGTCAATGTCCAACGAAGCCCACCATCATATAAGAATTAGGTCTGGTGTCCGGTAGTCCCCACTCAAGTGGTCAGAATTTTAAATAACAATTTCATAAAAATTCATAAGTTCCAAATACAGTGTATCAGTTTAGGCACTCCTTCTAGTGCCAATGTAAGATGAAGTAGAAAATGGGATTCATATATCGCCCCACTCCTTCTGGTACCTCCCATACAATTGTTACACATAAATGTTCTAAAAAAATATTGCCCTGACTTCACATTTAGTGATATTTGTACTAGACCTAAGTCATATATGGAAATGGACAGTATCGGTCAACCCCAGTCAATAACTCAACATTTTTATCAATAATAAATCTAGCGGGAAAAAACTACACCGACTCACTCCTTCCGTCCTCTTCTTCATA